TAGAGACAGAACCCATAGAGGTAGGTAACAACATAGAGACAGAACCCATAGAGATAGAACCCATAGAGATAGAACCCATAGAGATAGAACCCATAGAGACAGAACCCATAGAGGTAGGTAACAACATAGAGGTAGAACCCATAGAGGTAGGTAACAACATAGAGGTAGAACCCATAGAGGTAGAACCCATAGAGGTAGGTAACAACATAGAGATAGAACCCATAGAGGTAGGTAACAACATAGAGATAGAACCCATAGAGGTAGGTAACAACATAGAGATAGAACCCATAGAGGTAGAACCCATAGAGGTAGGTAACAACATAGAGGTAGGTAACAATGCAGAACACAGATATAGAATATATAGACATGGTATCAACAACATACACTGAACAAAAATATAAACCCAACATGCAACAATTTAAAATATTTTACTGAGTTACTGTTCAGATAAGGAAATCAGTCAATTGAAACGAATTCATTAGGTGCTAATCTATGGATTTCACATGACTGGGAATACAGATATGCATCTGTTGATCACGAATACCTTTAAAAAAAGGTAGGGACGTGGATCAGAAAACCAGTCAGTATCTGGTGTGCACCTTTAGCAGCAATTACAGCCTTGAGTCTTCTTGGGTATGACGCTACAAGCTTGGCACACCTGTATTTGGCGAGTTTCTCCCATTCTTCTCTGCCGATCCTCTCAAGCTCTGTCAGGTTGGATTGGGAGCGTTGCTGCACAGCTATTTTCAGGTCTCTCCAGAGATGTTCGATCGGGTTCAAGTCCGGGCTCTGGCTGGGCCACTCAAGGACATTCAGAGACTTGTCCAGAAGCCACTCCTGCATTGTCTTGGCTGTGTGATTCGGGTCGTTGCCCTGTTGGATGGTGAACCTTCGCCCCCAGTATGAGGTCCTGAGTGCTCTGGAACAGGTTTTCATCAAGGATCTCTCTGTACTTTGCTCCATTCATCTTTCCCTCAATCCTGACTAGTCTCCCAGTCTCTGCCACTGAAAAACATCCCCACAGCATGATGCTGCCTCCACCATGCTTCACTTTTTGGTACCCTTCCACAGATCTGTGCCTTGACATAATCCTTTCTTGGATCTCTACGGACAATTCCTTCGACCTCATGGCTTGGTTTTTGCTCTGACATGCACTGTCAACTCTGGGACCTTATATAGACAGGTGTGTGCCTTTCCAAATCATGTCCAGTCAATTGAATTTACCACAGGTGGACTCCTTCAAGTTGTAGAAACATCTCAAGGATGATCAATGGAAACAGGATGCACCTGAGCTTAATTTCGAGTCTCATAGCAAAGGGTCTGAATACATATAAATAAGTCTCTCTCTCTCTCTCTGTCTCTCTCTCACTTATGTAAATAAGGTATTTATGTTTTTTATTTTTAATACATTTGCAAAAATGTGTAAAAACCTGTTTTCACTTTGTCATTATCAAGTATTGTGTGTAGATTGATGAGCAACATATTTTTATTTAATACATTTTTGAACGTAGCAAAGTGTGGAAAAAGTAAAGGGGTTCGAATACTTTCCGAATGCGCTGTAGATCACAGAAACAGATTACATAGAATGGCAACAGGGTTCTAAATTCTAGAATGGAATGGTTCTCAGTTCTACCCTTTAAAGGGATAGTTCAGGATGTTGGCAATGGAGGCCATTTATCTACATCCCCAGAGTCCGATGGACTACCGTATTTATGTCTCTGCATCCAGTATGAAGGAAAGTTAGAGGTAGTTTCGCGAGCCGATGCCAACTAGCGTTAGCGCAATGACTGGAAGTCTACAGGAACAGCTAGCAATCTCCCATAGACTTCCAGTCATTGCACTAATGCTAGTTAGCAATTGCGCAAACCGCTAGATAGCAACTTCCTTCAAACTGCGCCCAGAGACATATAAAATGGTTACCGACATGTTCTTCGGACTCTGAAGTAGATAAATAGCCTCACTGCCGAAATCCTGAAGTATCCCTTTAAGTGAAGCTATTAACAAAACATGATTACAGAGTTTATCTGCAGCTGACGAGATTTCATCATCAACACCTCATCCCGCTACACGATCAATACGAAAGCAAACGCACAAGGTCCTGTAATGTTAGGCCAATGTTCTGCCGATCTATATGATTATGATATTCACATCAAACAAATGGACGATGTTTGTTTTCCCCTAGTCAGTCAGCCCATGTTGGAGATGACTCGGCTCTGAAGTGAAGTTGATTTTAAATGCTGAAAAGACAAAAAAAGTCGATGGTTTTCACAAAATCTAAGATGAAACCTCCAGACTCTTCCACGTATGCAGGTCAAGGAAATAGAAGGAGGAGCAGCTTACGAGTACTTAGGTTTACTTGATAGATGAGCGTCTAACCTTTAAACTTCCACATCGAAGGTCTTGCTAAAAAGCTCAAGTTGGGTTTTTATTTTTGTAGTCAGGTCTCTCTTGTAAAAGAGATTGTTAATCTCAATGAGACTAATCTGGTAAAATAAAGGTAAATAGAAAAGCAATGAAGACTAGTTTGTTGATTAGATATTAGGTTATACGTCTGAGATGTCTCTGCAATTGATTGAATTGGGGTCCACAATCATCATCTTTGTTTGTTTTTAAACTCCTCATAACCCTCCCAGTATTTAGGTAAATCAGTATTTCAGCTGATCTCTTTTGTCTTCTTCAATAAGGAAGAGGAGGAGAACCAGGAAGAGGAGGAGAACCAGGAAGAGGAGGAGAACCAGGAAGAGGAGGAGGTGGTGGGGAACGGCACCAGTAACGCTGCTGACAAGAGGAGACAGCTGTGGTGGAAAGCTCACCAACGCACAGAGGAGAGAAACGTAAGAGATGCATTATAAACTATTGATTACCTCAGGGCCGCTACATGGTTTATTAATGCATTATAAACTATTGATTACCTCAGGGCCGCTACATGGTTTATTAATGCATTATAAACTATTGATTACCTCAGGGCCGCTACATGGTTTATTAATGCATTATAAACTATTGATTACCTCAGGGCCGCTACATGGTTTATTAATGCATTATAAACTATTGATTACCATTTTATTGACCACATACACTACATGATCAAAAGTTTGTGGACACCTGCTCGTCGAACATCTCATTCCAAAATCATGGGCATTAATATGGAGTTGGTCCCCCCTTTGCTGCTATAACAGCCTCCACTCTTCTGGGAAGGCTTTCCACTAGATGTTGGAACATTGCTGCAGGGACTTGCTTCCATTCAGCCACAAGAGCATTAGTGAGGTCGGGCACTGATGTTGGGCGATTAGGCCTGGCTCGCAGTCGGCGTTCCAATTCATCCCAAAGGTGTTCGATGGGGTTGAGGTCAGGGCTCTGTGCAGGCCAGTCAAGTTCTTCCACACTGATCTTGACAAACCATTTCTGTATGGACCTAGCTTTGTGCACGGAGGCATTGTCATGCTGAAACAGGAAAGGGCCTTCACCAAACGTTTTCCATGAAGTTGGAAGCACAGAATCGTCTAGAATGTAATTGTATGCTGTTGTGTTAAGATTTCCCTTCACTGGAACTAAGGGGCCTAGCCCGAACCATGAAAAACAGCCCCAGACCATTATTCCTCCTCCACCAAACTTTACAGTTGGCACTATGCATTGGGTCAGGTAGCGTTCTCCTGGCATCCGCCAAACCCATATTCGTCCGTCGGACTGCAAGATGGTGAAGCGTGATTCATCTTTCCAGAGAACGCGTTTCCACTGCTCCAGAGTCCAATGGCGGTGAGCTTTACACCGACGCTTGGCATTGAGCATGTTGATCTTAGGCTTGTGTGCGGCTGCTCGGCCATGGAAACCCATTTCATGAAGCTCCCAACGAACAGTTCTTGTGCTGACGTTGCTTCCTGAGGCAGTTTGGAACTCGGTAGTGAGTGTTGCAACCGAGGACAGACGATTTTTACGCGCTGCGCGCTTCAGCACTCTGCGACCCCGTTCTGTGAGCTTGCTTCCACTTCGTGGCTGAGCCGTTGTTGCTCCTAGACGTTTCCACTTCACAATAGCACCACTTACAGTTGACCGGGACAGCTCTAGCAGGGCAGAAATATGACGAACTGACTTGTTGGAAAGGTGGCATCCTATGACGGTGCCACGTTGAAAGTCACTGAGCTCTTCAGTAAGGCCATTCTACTGCCAATGTTTGTCTATGGAGATTGCATGGCTGTGTGCTCGGTTTCATACACCTGTCAGCAACGGATGTGGCTGAAATAGCCGAATCCACTCATTTGAAGGGGTGTCCACATACTTTTAGTGTATATAGTGTAGTGTATGATATATAATATATGCCATTTAGCAGAGGACTTTAATACAAAAGCGATTTACCGTCACGCGTGCATTTACATTTTTTACATATGAGTGGTCCCTGGAATCAAACCCACTATCCTGGCGTTGCAAGCACCATGCTCTACAAACTGAGCTACAGAGGACTGCAGCCTATGCTGCATATGAAACAAATGGTCACATGACCAGGAAAACCTTTGGGCCCTAACCATAGTCCATATTGTCGCTGTGTTGTTCCACAGGGGTTGGTTACAAAATCCAACGAGACATCTTTTGACTACATCTCCACCCTAAACCCGGTGGAAAATGGACCGGTCCGCCTGGACCTGTACTCCACCCCACAGAATGAAATGGACCAAATCAATAACATTACAGGCAAGACACGTGTTGTGAGCAAACTCACTGTAACATTTTGAATATACGGGCCGAGTATATGGGACAAGTGAAATTATAATCTGCAGCACGATTTATGTTGTAACTGTAAAAAAAATCTGCAAGGAGGATATTTTTTTGTAAACTGGGCCCTGGTCAAAAGTAGTGTACTATATAGGGAATAGGGTGCAATTTGGGATGCACACTATATCTCCTGTATATACTGTGGGTGTTGAACTATACGACGTATCTTTATCTAAACAGAGAAGGATGGAGGTGTGTATGACGTCAGTCCAACCCTGCGAGGAGAGACTGCTGGGATGGAGGGAGCGGAGGAGGAGGAGGAGGAGGAGGAGGAGGAGGAAGAGGAGGAGGGCAGAGTGGCTGTTGTAACAGTGTTCAGGTTCATTATGAAGCGGAGCTATATCTGCGCTCTCATAGCCATGATGGTGAGTAAAACAGTGACTCTGGTCCCTCTGGTGACTGTGCTCACGTCAAGGCTAAAGGAAGCACCTGTGTGTGTGTGTGTGTGTGTGTGTGTGTGTGTGTGTGTGTGTGTGTGTGTGTGTGTGTGTGTGTGTGTGCGCTCACGTCACAGCTAAAGAAAGCATATGTCATCTGATAAATTGCCATAACTGTTTTCGTGATCGTAGTATGTTTTTGTTTTGAGTCACTGTAGATTCAGAGGTTTGTGGGAACGTACGTTGTTGGTTTCACATTGGTTGTGGGAACGAAGTTATACGTTTCCTGACCGGTAAAACTGAAAGTTTTTAAAACGTTCTGAGAACAGAAATGAAAATGTCGCCTGTTCTGGGAATGTTTACTTTTAGGTTCCAGGGAGGATCTGAGAACACTGGTTTACTCTGGTTCCTTGAAAGTTTCCTGGGAGATTTTATTAACGCTCTGACAATGGAAATTATAGTTTTTTAATAACTTCCTTAAATCTTTTACTGAATCTTTCAATAAGACTTTTTTGGTGATATTTTATTTTGCTTTCTTTCACCTTTATTTTTGTCTTTTATGTTAATAGATATTTTTATTTATTTACTTTTAGCCCTTTTTATCCCCAATAGGTAGTTACAGTCTTGTCCCATCGCTGCATTTCCCGTACAGACTCGGCAGAGGCAAAGGTCGAGAGCCACGCGTCCTCCGAAACACGACCCTGCCAAGCCGCACTACTTCTTGACACACTGCTCGCTTAACCCGGAAGCCAGCCGCACCAATGTGTCAGGAGGAAACACCGTACAACTGGCGACCGAAGTCAGCGTGCATGTGCCCGGCCCGCCACAGGAGCCGCTAGAGCGCGATGGGACAAGGACATCCCGGCCGGCCAAACCCTGCCCTAACCCGGACGACGCTGGGCCAATTGTGCGCCGCCTCATGGGTCTCTCGGTCACGGCCGGCTGTGACACAGCCTGGGATCGAACCCGGGTCTGTAGTGACGCCTCAAGCACTGTGATGCAGTGTGTCCGTTGCACCAGTAGGGATGCCCTTTTTTTTTTTTTTTTTACAATAAACAAAAACATACACAGACAAAAACAATAGACAACTTAACATTTATATATATACACTACATGGCCCAAAAAAATTCTGCCCTGCTAGAGTTGCACCGGTCAACTGTAAGTGCTGTTATTGTGAAGTGGAAACGTCTAGGTGCAACAACGGCTCAGCCGCAAAGTGGAAGGCCACAAAAGCTCACAGAACGGGACCGCCGAGTGCTGAAGCGCGTAGCACGTAGAAATCGTCTGTCCTCGGTTGCAACACTCACTACCGAGTTCCAAACTGCCTCTGGAAGCAATGTCAGCACAATAACTGTTTGTCGGGAGCTTCATGAAATGGGTTTCCATGGCCGAGCAGCCGCACACAAGCCTAAGATCACCATGCGCAATGCTAAGCGTTGGCTGGAGTGGTATAAAGCTCGCCGCCATTGGACTCTGGAGCAGTGGAAACGCGTTCTCTGGAGAGATGAATCGTGATTCATCATCTGGCAGTCCGATGGTCAAATCTGGGTTTGGCTGATGCCAGGAGAACGCTACCTGCCCCAATGCATAGTGCCAACTGTAAAGTTTGGTGAAGGAGGAATAATGGTCTGGGTCTGTTTTTCATAGTTCGGGCTAGGATCCTTAGTTCCAGTTAAGGGAAATCTTAACACAACAGCATACAATGACATTCTAGACGATTCTGTGCTTCCAACTTTATGGAAGAAGTTTGGTGAAGGCCCTTTCCTGTTTCAGCATGACAATGCCTCCGTGCACAAAGCTAGGTCCATACAGAAATGGTTTGTCGAGATTGGTGTGGAAGAACTTGACTGGCCTGTACAGAGCCCTGACCTCAACTCCATCGTACACCTTTGGGATGAATTGGAACGCTGACTGCGAGCCAGGCCTAATCGCCCAACATCAGTGTCCGACCTCACTAATGCTCTTGTGGCTGAATGGAAGCAAGTCCCCCGCAGCAATGTTCCAACATCTAGTGGAAAGCCTTCCCAGAAGAGTGGAGGCTGTTATAGCAGCAAAGGGGGGACAAACTCCATAAGGCCATTCTTATGATGCTGCCCCCACCATGCTTCATCGTAGGGATGGTGCCAGGTTTCCTCCAGACGTGACGCTTGGCATTCAGGCCAAATAATTTAATCTTGTTTTCATCAGACCAGAGAATCTTGTTTCTCATGGTCTGAGAGTCCTTTAGGTGTCTTATGGCAAACTCCCAAGTGGGCTGTCATGTGCCTTTTACTGAGGAGTGGCTTCCGTCTGGCCACTCTACCATAAAGGCCTGATTGGTGGAGTGCTGCAGAGATGGTTGTCCTTCTGGAAGATTCTCCCATCTCCACAGAGGAACTCTAGAGCTCTGTCAGAGTGACCATCAGGTTCTTGGTCACCTCCCTGACCAAGGCCCTTCTCCTCCGATTGCTCAGTTTGGCAGGCCGGCCAGCTCTAGGAAGAGTCTTGGTGGTTTCAAACTTCTTCCATTTAAGAATGATGGAGGCCACTGTGTTCTTGGGGACCTTCAATGCTGCAGACATTTTTTGGTACCTTTCCCCAGATCTGGGCCTCGACACAATCCTGTCTCGGAGCTCTACGGGCAATTCCTTCGACGTCATGGCTTGGTTTTTGGTCTGACATGCACTGTCAACTGTGGGACCTTATATAGACAGGTGTGTGCTTTTCCAAATCATGTCCAATCAATTGAATTTACCACAGGTGGATTCCAGTCAAGTTGTAGAAACATCTTAAGGATGATCAATGGAAACAGGATGCACCTGAGCTCAATTTCGAGTCTCATAGCAAAGGGTCTGAATACTTATGTAAATGTTATATTTCATTTTTTGATTTTTTATAAATTTGCTAAAAACCTGTTTTTGCTTTGTCATTATGGGGTATTGTGTGCAGATTGCTGAGGATTTGTTTTTATTTAATCAATATTAGAATAATCCAGGCGTCGTAGCCGGCCGCGACCGGGAGACCCATGGGGCGGCGCACAATTGGCCCAGTGTCGTCCAGGGTAGGGGAGGGAATGGCCGGCAGGGATGTAGCTCAGTTGGTAGAGCATGGCGTTTGCAATGCCAGGGTTGTGGGTTCGATTCCCACGGGGGGCCAGTATGAAAAAAATATATATAAAAAATATATATATATATATATATTTTTAAAAAAAATGTATGCACTCACTAACTGTAAGTCGTTCTGGATAAGAGCGTCTGCTAAGTGACTAAAATGTAAAATGTAAATAAGGCTGTAAGGTAACAAAATGTGGAAAAAGTCAAGGGGTCTGAATACTTTCTGAAGTATTTGAAAATGTCTACATTGGTCCAAAAGTCCAAAATTGCTTTTTAATTCTGTCATGGAAATGTTTTTATTTCCTGTTACCACGTTATTTACAGTTTCTTTGCCTTTAATTTTCTATGTGGTCCAATTTATCGGTGAATTCTGAAAAACTATTGAAGGATTGTTCCATAAGGGATTGATGTTGGTTCTTGTAGAATCCGTTTCATTTTCTTCTATACTGTTATAGCGTTCTTAACTAGGAAGTTGTTCATGTTTTTAGCTTAATCCTTTGATATACTGCGCATCTTCAATATGATTCAACAATATGTATTTATTTTTTTATAATTTTACCCCCTATTTCGTGATCTTTTCTCATCGCTGCAACAGGCTCAGGAGAGGCGAAGGTCAAGTCATGCATCCTCTGAAACATGACCTGCCAAACTGAGCTTCTTAACACCCACCCGTTTAACCAGCTGCACCAATGTGTCAGAGGAAACACCGTTCAACTGACGACCAAAGTCAGCCTGCAGGCGCCCGGCCCACCACAAGAGCACGATGAGCCAAGTAAAGCCCCCCCGGCCAAACCAGACGACGCTGGACCGATTGTGCACCGCCCTATGGGACTCCCGTCACGTCCGGTTGTGGCCTGGGATCAAACTGCAGGCTGTAGTGACGCAGCAACACTGCGATGCAGTGCCTTAGACCGCTGCGCCACTCCGGAGGCTTCAACCAAACTTTTAATAACACTGCTAGTTTATTTTGAGTTTTTTTTTTTAAATACTCCAAGCACAGATAAGACAAATGGAAATTCATTTCCTTAGGCATTAATCAGGCAAACACATTTCTTTTTTTATTGTGACACAGCATCAGTGAGATTTGAACCTATAATCTTCTGTTGTCTATCGATGGAATTAGTCCACTGCGCCACCATCATGCAAAGCTGTTCATTTTAGTATATTCAAACAGACCACATTTCAAAGGACACAAGCACTCACTAAGATTAGGTGTGGCCAATTAGTCGGCGCGGCCAACACACCTGAACACACTTAACAAGATGGAAGATTGTGACACTCTGGCTCCATGGACTTTGAATATTGAGCCAGGGTTGTTCATTTTCATTTGTTTGGGTGTATTTCATTTGGTGGTGTTGGGGATGGGTGAGTTTCATTTTGTTTGTGTCTTTTGGTGATTGGTTAATGACTCCCAATCGGAGGTAACGAGTGTCAGCTGTCGGCTCGTTATCTCTGATTGGGAGCCATATATATTCTGTGTGTTTTTCTCCTTGTGTTTGTGGGTTTTTGTTTCCTTGTTGCTGATAGTTGTTTCAGTGTTGAACTTCACGTATCGTCTTTTGTTTTGTATTTTCGTGGTTGCTTTATTTAATAAAGTCATCATGTTCACTCGCAACGCTGCGCTTTGGTCCGCTCCTTCAGACGATCGTGACAGAAAAACCCACCATCAAAGGACCAAGCAGCGTGTCCAGGAGCCGAGGGTCTGGACATGGGAAGAGTTATTGGACGGAAAGGGTCCTTGGGCACAACCGGGAGAATATCGCCTCCCTCGTGAAGAGCTGGAGGCAGCCAAAGCCGAGAGGAGGTGGTACGAGGAGGCAGCGCGAAGGCGAGGCTGGAAGCCCGTGGAAGAGAGGCAACCCCAAGAAATTTTTTGGGGGGGGCACATGGCTTGGGCGACGGAGCAGCAGGAGGCTGCCACAAGGCAGAGTCAGAGGGCTGCCAGGTTAAGGGGGCTGACGGAGGCAGAGAAGGGACGGATTCAGTGGGCTACCAGGTCAAGGGGGCTACTGGGTAAAGCAGGGAAGGAAGGTGTTGAGGCACGGCGTGAGGTACTGGGGTGTGTAACCAGTTCGGTCCGGCCCGTTCCTAGTCCCGAGGTGCAGCCAGTAGTGTGTGTTTCCCCGTACGGTACGGCCTGTTCCGGTCCCTCGCACTAAGTGTAAGGTGCGCGTCGCCAGCCCGGTTCGGCCTGTTCCTGCCATACGCACCAAGTGTACGGTGCGCGTCGCCAGCCCAGCCCGGCCTGTCCCGGCCCCTTGCACTAAGCGTACGGTGCGCGTCGCCAGCCCGGTTCGGCCTGTTCCTGCGCCACGTAGGATGCCTACGGTGTGCGTCGCCAGCCCAGCCCGGCCTGTTCCTGTGCCACGTAGGAAGCCTACGGTGTGCGTCGTCAGCCCAGCCCGGCCTGTTCCTGCTCCCCGCACTAGGCGTTATGGGAGTCCCCAGGGTCCAGCATGCCCTGTTCCGACTCCCCGCACTAGCCCTGAGATGCGTGTCCTCAGCCCGGTACCTCCAGTTCCGGCACCACGCATCAGGCCTACGGTGCGTCCCCAGGGCCAAGAATGCCCTGTTGCTTCTCCCCGCACTAGCCCTGAGATGCGTGTCCTCAGCCCGGTACCCTCCTGTTCCGGCACCACGCACCAGGCCTACGATGCGCCTCAGACGGCCAGAGTCTGCCGTCTGCCCAACGGGGCCTGAACTGCCCGTCTGCCCAAAGCCTGCAAAGCCGCCCGTCTGCCATGAGCCATCAGAGCCGTCCGCCAGACCGGAGCCGCTAGAGCCTTCCGCCAGACAGGATCAGCCAGAGCCTTCCGCCAGACAGGATCAGCCAGAGCCTTCTGCCAGACAGGATCAGCCAGAGCCTTCTGCCAGACAGGATCATCCAGAGCCTTCTGCCAGACGGATCAGCCAGAGCCTTCCGCCAGACAGGATCAGCCAGATCCGTCAGTCGGCCATGAGCAGCCAGATCCGTCAGCCAGCCATGAGCAGCCAGATCCGTCAGCCAGCCATGAGCAGCCAGATCCGTCAGCCAGCCATGAGCAGCCAGATCCTCAGCCCCATGAGCAGCCAGATCCGTCAGCCAGCCATGAGCAGCCAGATCCGTCAGCCAGCCATGAGCAGCCAGATCCGTCAGCAGCCATGAGCAGCCAGATCCGTCAGCCAGCCATGAGCAGCCAGATCCGTCAGCCAGCCATGAGCCGTCCAGCCAGGATCCGCCAGAGCCGTCCAGCCAGGATCCGCCAGAGCCGTCCAGCCGGGATCCGCCAGAGCCGTCCAGCCGGGATCCGCCAGAGCCGTCCAGCCGGGATCCGCCAGAGCCGTCCAGCGGGATCCGCCAGAGGCCGTCCAGCCGGGATCCGCCAGAGCCGTCCAGCCGGGATCCGCCAGAGCCGTCCAGCCGGGATCCGCCAGAGCCGTCCAGCCGGGGATCCGCCAGAGCCGTCCAGCCAGGATCCGCCAGCCAGCCAGGATCCGCCAGAGCCAGCCAGCCAGGATCCGCCATTTAGTCAGGTGCTGCCCCTTAGCTCGGTGTTTGCTCCTTATCCTGGTTGCTGTCCCTTATCTGGTGCTGTCCCTTAGCCTGGTACTGCCCCTTAGTCCGGTACTGCCCCGTAGTCCGGTGCTGCCCCTTAGTCCGGTGCTGTCCCTTAGCCCGGTGCTGCCCCTTATCCCGGTGCTGCCCCTTATCCCGGTGCTGCCCCTTAGGCCGATGCTGCCCCTTAGTCCGGTGTTGCCCCTTAGTCCAGGTGGGGTTAGTTGGAGGGTGGTCATTGGGAGGAGGCTACCGAAGCAGGTTGTGACTGTGGTGGGGTGGGGATCACGACCGGGGCCAGAGCCGCCACCGTGGACAGACGCCCACCCAGACCCTCCCCTAGTCCTGATGTTGGTGCGCCCGGAGTTCGCACCTTTAGGGGGGGGGTACTGTGACACTCTGGCTCCATGGACTTTGAATATTGAGCCAGGGTTGTTCATTTTCATTTGTTTGGGTGTATTTCATTTGGTGGTGTTGGGGATGGGTGAGTTTCATTTTGTTTGTGTCTTTTGGTGATTGGTTAATGACTCCCAATCGGAGGTAACGAGTGTCAGCTGTCGGCTCGTTATCTCTGATTGGGAGCCATATATATTCTGTGTGTTTTTCTCCTTGTGTTTGTGGGTTTTTGTTTCCTTGTTGCTGATAGTTGTTTCAGTGTTGAACTTCACGTATCGTCTTTTGTTTTGTATTTTCGTGGTTGCTTTATTTAATAAAGTCATCATGTTCACTCGCAACGCTGCGCTTTGGTCCGCTCCTTCAGACGATCGTGACAAAGATAGAGTTTTGTTGATGCTGAGAATGGAATGTATATGTTTTTAAATAACATTCTTAGAACGTGGTTTTTTATAGAACGTTTCTTTAAATGTTCTCGGAACAATTTGAGAACATTCCTTTAAATACAACCATGAGGAAAACCTGTAGGAAACGTTATGCTGAAGTACTGAAATTCCCACAGAAGAATGTTGTTTCTTAAAGTTCTTGGAACAATTTGAGAACATTACTTTAATCCCCTTAAATATAATTAGCATAATGAAAAAATCCCCATCAAAATCCGTCTGTTTAAGCTAGAGATAGATATCTGTTGTTTGTATTTTTTTGCATGGGCTGCGTCTCAATCTGCCTCAATCCGCCTCATCTCGGCCATCTGCATCATGAAAGGGGAAGCAGTCAGAGCTACAGCGGTGTTTGTCAGATTAGGAGACGTCCCGAAAATCGGTCTTCTCTCAAACGTCTTTTTAGCGTCCGAACCGTTTGGGCTAAAAACTATTATGACCCGTCTATGGAAAGATGAGACTCTAACGAACGCGTCATATTTTGCTCCAGGTTTTATTTTTTATTAGCCATATTGAACCCCTTTTTGGGGCACTAAACTACTTCCATGTATTCTTCCATAAAACATTTTTAAACTGGTACCGTGGGACGCCCACAGGACTCGTCTGAAGGTCCCACGGTACCAGTTTAAAAAAATGTTTTATGGAAGAATACATGGAAGTAGTTTAGTGCCCCAAAAAGGGGTTCAATATGGCTAATAAAAAATAAAACAACATCCTGATCTTTCTTACATCTTAGGACAGACACTTCAGAACAAACTTCCTTTAGATTTATTTTGTGACTATCTGTTGTTCCATGTAGTGAATCTGTTATTCAATGTGTTTCTATGTGCTAATAGCAGTAAGGCCAAATTCAATGTTTCATCAAATATGTTTTATATATTTTTTTGGGGGGGATACCTAAAATTAAATTGATTAGCAAAGTGATCCATGGTATGACCATCTTAAAACAATTCCATATGTTAGCTTAGTAGAAACTCCCCCCGAAAGGCTTAGCCTTTTAGAGGGTATTAGATAGAAACCTGTAGGAAATGGTATGCCGAGATACTGAACATTGTTTCTTAACGTTCTCTGAACAGTTTGAGAACATTCCCAATGTCAAACCAGTTGGAGAATGTTCCTACCAAAATTGAAATGAAATTTAACCATGTTTTGAACTTTTAGGAAAACGTTCTGTTAAAGTAATTCAATACCACGAAAATAACATATTTATTTGTCAAGTTCCTTAAATGTGCTTAAAATGTTCCAAAGCCAAGCAACTATCCTGCACCATTCCCAGAAAGTTGTGGAAAAGTTGTATTTAAAATAACCATAGGACAACAACGCTCTCACCAAGTTATAAGAAACACATGGTTCTCAGAACGTTATGTGCTAGCTGGGTTATTTTTTTTATCTGATGTCTCCATGTTCTTTACCCAAAAAAAAAAAAAAAAAAGGGGGGGGGGGGGGGGGGGGCCCAAAAAAAAAAAAAAAAAAAAAAGGGGGGGGGGAAAAAAAAGGGGCAAAAAATGGGGCGGGGGGAAAAAAAGGGGGGGAAAAAGGGGAAAAAAAAAAAGGGGGGGGGGGCCCCCCCCCCGGGGGGGGGTTTTGATTTTAAAATTTCCCCTATTTAATTTTTAGGGGTTTTTGGGTTTTTTGTTTGTTAATTTGGGAAAAAAAATTTTTCTTTTAATGTTTTTTTTTATTTTTAAAATCCCCCTTTTTTGAAAAAAAATTTTTTTTTTTAGGGTTTTTTTTTTAAAAGGGAAAAAAAAAAAAAAAAACCCCCCCAAAAAAACCCCCCCAAAAAAAAAAAAAACCCCCCCCCCCCCCAAAAAATAAAAAAAAACAAAAAAAAAACAAAAACCAAAACCCAAAAAAAAACCCCAACCAAAAAAAAAATTTTCCCCTAAAAGAAAAAAAAAAAAAATAAAAAAACAAAAAAACAAAAAAAAAAAAAAAAAAAAAAAAAAAAAAAAAAAAAAAAAAAAAAAAAAAAAAAAAAGGGGGTGAAAAAAAAAAAAAAAAAAAAAAAAAAAAAAAAAAAAAAAAAAAAAAAAAAAAAAAAAAAAAAAAAAAAAAAAAAAAAAAAAAAAAAAAAAATTTAAAAAAAAAAAAAAAAAAAAAAAAAAAAAGTAAAAAAAAAAAAAAACAAAAAAAAAAAAAAAAAACCCCCCCAAAAAAAAACCAAAACCAAAAACCCCTTTCCCCCCCAAAAAAAACCCCCCCCCACCCCTCCCCCCCCCACAAATCCCCCCCCCCCCCCGCCCCCCCCCCCCCCGTCCCCCCCCCCCCCCCCCCCCCCCCCCCCCCCCCCCCTCTCTCTTTCTGTATTCCCCCCCAGGCAGGAGATCCGTATGTTTGGCTGATTTGTGTTTGATGTGGCGTGTTTTTTGGGGGTGGTGAGGGAGCGTCGTCGTAACCCCTGTAAACCTCTCCCTTTTGGTGCTTATGGGAACCTGTGATGGGGCTGCAGACATTGGGCTTTGAGCTTTTGGAGCCCCGTACCCGGGTCTTCCCAAATGGACGTGCCCTTCACCAAGGGGGTTCCAAGGTAAATGGCGGGACTTGCTACTTAGCAAAGTTTTACATGGGAAAGGGAGAGACGAAGTTCTGAGTAAATGGAAGACCGAATGTTTGATTTAAAATGGGGGAGAGTCTGTGTCAGTAAGATTGTTATCGTTCTAGATCTGTGTCAGTAATGATTCTGACTGTTCCCAACCGTGCATAAAGATTTTTGACTGTCTCTAGATCCGTGTCATAAGATGTCTGTTATCTGCTTGATCCGTGCAGTAAGAGTTGTTATCTTCTCTAGATCGTGCTAATGATTTTGATTTCTGTCTTAATCCGTGTCTGTAATGATGTTTATCGTTCAGATCCCGTGTCAGTAATGATTTTTTCTTCCTTTGATCCGTGTCTGTAATGAGTCTGTTTTGTCTCTAATCCCGGTCGAATAGTCTGTTACGTCCTAGATCCCGGTTGTAATGAGTTGTTATTGCTCAGATCCTGTGTCAGTAAGAGTCTGTTCTTTCTCTGTCCTGTGCAGAAGGTTTATGGCTCAGATCCGTGTCAGAAGATGTTGTTTACGCTCAGATCGGCCGTAAGAGTTTATCGGTCTCTAGACCGGTTCAGAAGAGCGTTTTCTGCTCTAGACCGGGTAGTAAGAGTCTTTATGCTCAGCCCGTTTTTCGAATGAGCTTTATCGCCGAACCGGGGCGAAGGGGTTGTTGGGGCTCCAGACCTGTGCAGAAAAGAGCTGTTACGTCCCAACCTGGGTCGTTGGCCGGGCGGGGTGTGAGACGACTCGGAGGGACAGGGGAGCGGAGAGAGGAGGCGGTGTTTCATGATGTACAGGGATGACCAACCAAAAGAAGGGTCAGAACTAATATCAAGTGCCAAAAATTACGGTTTTAATGTGTTAAACCGACTGGGTTCGAACCCAAGACGGTTTGCCCTTTAGATAAGGGGCAAACAATATCCAAAACTGGTCAAAATACAAGTTTTATATGGTGACCGACTGGGTTCAAACCTGGGTTTCCGGGGGAAAGCCACCCCAAAACTTGTTGCCCGCTGAGCTGAAGCCTAGGCATTAGCTCAGGGGAAACACAAGTTTCCAGGGCCAGCAAAGTTTCACAGGAAAAACGTTCAGAAATGCTACAATATCCGTTTTCCCCTGCAACATTTACTACAATTCCGTTATCCCCAAGCAATCATTACAAAATTTCCGTTATCCAACTGCAATCATTTTCAACAAAATTTCCGTTAAAACCAAACTGCTATATTACTAGAAATTCCTCTTATCCCCAGGTTTATTTTATCCTGTTTTCCCAAGGCTATCATTTATATCCCGTTATCCACACGGCTATCATTTATATCCCCTATCCCCCCTGCTATCATTTAATGGGGTTTTCCCCCCGCACATTTAACCTGTTATCCATGCTATCGTTTATATCCTGTTTTCCCCACTGCTATCATTTATTTCCGTATCCCCCGGCATATTTTTTCTGTTTTTCCCCCCTGCATTTATTCCTGTACCCCGGGTATCATTAATCCGTTATCCCACTGCTATCATTTTTACCCCTTTTCCCCCCGGCTATATTTTATCCTGTTTTCCCATGTATCATTTTTATCCCGTTTCCCCCCTGTATCATTTTTTATCCTGTTATCCCCACTGCTACGTTATATCCTGTTATCCCCCTGCTATCATTTATATCCTGTTATCCACACGGCTATCATTTATATCCTGTTATCCACACTGCTATCATTTATATCCGGTTATCCCCACTGCTATCATTTATATCCTGTTATTCACACTGCTATCGTTTATATCCTGTTATCCCCACTGCTATCATTTATATCCTGTTATCCACACGGCTATCATTTATATCCTGTTATCCCCACTGCTATCATTTATATCCTGTTATTCCCACTGCTATCATTTATATCCTGTTATCCACACTGCTATCGGTTATATCCTGTTCTCCCCACTGGCGATCGTTATATCCTGTTATCCACACTGATATCGTTTATATCCTGTTATCCCCACTGTTATCGTTTATATCCTGTTATCCACACTACTATCATTTATATCCTGTTATCCACACGGCTATCATTTATATCCTGTTATCCCCACTGCTATCATTTATATCCTGTTATCCACACTGATATCATTTATATCCTTTTATCCACACTGATATCATTTATATCCTGTTATCCACACTGATATCATTTATATCCTGTTATCCACACTGCTATCATTTATATCCTGTTATCCACACTGCTATCGTTTATATCCTGTTATCCACACTGATATCGTTTATATCCTGTTATCCACACTGCTATCATTTATATCCTGTTATCCACACTGCTATCGTTTATATCCTGTTATCCACACTGCTATCGTTTATATCCTGTTATCCACACTGATATCGTTTATATCCTGTTATGTCACGCCCTGGCTCTGGGGACGCTGTTATGTTGAGCCAGGGTGTGTATATCAATGTGTTTTGTGTCTATGGGTGCTATTTCTATGTTGGCCAGAGTGGCTCCCAATCAGAGGCAACGAGTGTCAGGTGTTGCTGGCTGTCTCTGATTGGGAGCCATATTTAAACAGTCTGTGTTTCATTCGTGTTTGTGGGATTTTGTTTCAAGTCTGTTTATGTTAGACCGTGAACTGTCACGTATCGTTTGTTGTTTTTGATCGTGTCTCTAATTAAAGAGTATGTTTGCCTGCAACGCTGCGCCTTGGTCCTCATCTGTTCTAGACGATCGGGACAGAAAATCCCACCACAACTGGACCAAGCAGCGAGTCGAGGAGCCATCGCCAGGGAAATCCCTAGCAGATCTCCGTGGCAGCCTCGACTGGGTCAAGCCGAGTGAAGAGCAGAGAGAGTGGACTTGGGAACAATGGAGGAAGAGCTTCGACTGGGTTCAAGCCAATTGAGGAGCTGAATAGCGGGAGTTGGAGGCAGAAGAGCGAGAGTTGGGCGAGAATATAGAGGCCTGGCCCACGGGGAGGAGAGACCCCCAGAAAATTTTTAGGGGGGGCTCACGACGTCGGGGCAGCAGGAGGCCGCGATAGAGCGGTCCAGCGGGTTGGCAGAGGAGGCCGCCAGGGTTACGGGGGCCACTGTAGAAGAGGGGATGGAAGGTGTAGAGGCACGGCGAGAGGTACTGGGGTGTGTGTTACCAGTTCCGGTCCGGCCCGTTCCAGATCCCGGTGTAGGGCCCAGTGGTGGTGTGTCCCCAGTACGGTCCGGTCTGTTCATGGCTCCCCGCACCAAGTTCAGTGGTGCGCTTCGTCCAGCCCGGCTCGGCCCGTTCCTGCTCCCCGCCACCAAGTCAGTGGTGCGCTTCGTCAGCCCGGCTCGGCCCGTTCCTGCTCCCCGCACCAAGTCAGTGGTTGCGCTTCGTCAGCCCGGCTCGGCCGTTCCTGTCCCGCACCAAGTCAGTTGGTGCGCTTCGTCAGCCCGGCTCGGCCCGTTCCTGCTCCCCGCACCAAGTCAGTGGTGCGTTTCGTCGGGCCCGGTTCGGCTCACTCCTGCTCCTCAACACCAAGCCAGTGGTGGTGCGTTGTCAGTCCAGCACGGCCCGTGCCTGTTCTCCACACCACCAGTGGCGGGCGTCGTCAGTCCGGCACGGCCGTGCCTGTTCCACTGGTGCCTGGTTCGTGCACTGGTCCAGATGTTTTACGCCGGGGCTAGAGCCATCCGCTCCATCAGTGTGCAGTCCAGCTCCGGCCAGCGGGGGCCAGACCGGACCAGGGGTACTTTGGGGGGTTGGAGAGGGAGTGGGGATCAGGCCGGAGCCGGATCCGCCGCCTAGGCGGAGTGCCCCACCCGGTCCCCTCCCCTGTGGTATTTGGTTGACGCGGTCGGAGTCCGCAGCCTTTAGGGGGGGGGTACTGTCCACGCCCTGGCTCTGGGGACCGCTGTTATGTTGAGCCAGGGTGTGTAGATCAATGTGTTTTGTGTCTATGGGTGCTTATTTCTATGTTGGCCAGAGTGGCTCCCAATCAGAGGCAACGAGTGTCAGGTGTTGCTGGCTGTCTCTGATTGGGAGCCATATTTAAACAGTCTGTGTTTCATTCGTGTTTGTGGGATTTTGTTTCAAGTCTGTTTATGTTAGACCGTGAACTGTCACGTATCGTTTGTTGTTTTTGATCGTGTCTCTAATTAAAGAGTATGTTTGCCTGCAACGCTGCGCCTTGGTCCTCATCTGTTCTAGACGATCGTGACATGTTATCCCCACTGCTATCGTTTATATCCTGTTATCCACACTGCTATCGTTTATATCCTGTTATCCCCACTGCTATCATTTATATCCTGTTATCCACACGGCTATCATTTATATCCTGTTATCCACACTGCTATCATTTATATCCTGTTATCCACACTGATATCATTTATATCCTGTTATCCCCACTGCTATCGTTTATATCCTGTTATCCCCACTGCTATCATTTATATCCTGTTATCCACACTGCTATCGTTTATATCCTGTTATCCACACTGATATCATTTATATCCTGTTATCCACACTGATATCATTTCATTGAATTGTTCATCAAGTAGGGCCACTTACTCAGTATCTCCTGTCTGTAACCTTGTTTATAGATGATGAGGAGGGAGCGGAGCAGGACATCATGCAGGTTCTGGGGAACATGGTGATGGAGATGCTGGTGAAATACTGGATCTATATCTGTGGAGGAATGTTCTTCTTCGTCAGCTTCGAGGGACGCATGGTCATGTACAAGATCATCTACATGATGCTCTTCCTCTTCTGTGTGGCGCTCTATCAGGTACACACACACACACACACGCACACACACACACACACACACGCACACACTACTTGGAGAAATTGCTGAGAAGAGAACGTTTCAGTGGGCGGAACTCATGAAAGTTATCCAGTGTCTGAATGCATTTTCTCAGCATTAAGAAGGTGACTTCCTGTGTCATAATAACATTTCCATTATAAAGCAGTGGAGGCTGCTGAGGGGAGGACAGCTCTAAATAATGGCTGGAATGGAGCCAATGGAATGGCATCAAACACATGGAAACCAGCCATTACCATGAGCCCATCCTCCCCAATGAAGCTGCCACCAGCCTCCTGTGGTATACAACCATGTAAACCGCTACAGTAAAACTGTTCTGCCAGCCAGTCAGCCAGCCAGCCAGTCAGCCAGCCAGCCAGTCAGCCAGTCAGCCAGCCAGCCAGTCAGCCAGCCAGCCAGTCAGCCAGTCAGCCAGCCAGCCAGTCAGCCAGCCAGCCAGTCAGCCAGCCAGCCAGTCAGCCAGTCAGCAGTCAGCCAGCCAGCCAGCCAGCCAGTCAGCCAGTCAGCCAGTCAGCCAGCCAGCCAGCCAGCCCACGCCAGCCAGTCAGCCAGCCAGCCAGTCAGCCAGTAAGCCAGCCAGCACAGCCAGCCAGTGCAGCCAAGCCAGCCAGCCAGCCAAGTCAGCCAGCCAGCCAGTCAAGCCAGTGTCAGCCAGCCAGCCCAGTCAGCCAGTCAGCCAGCCAGTCAGCCAGCCAGCCAGGTCAGCCAGTCAGCCAGTCAGCCAGCCCAGCCAGCCAGCCAGTCCAGCAAGCCAAGCCAGCCCAGCCAGTCAAGCCAGTCAGCCAGGCCAGCCAGTCGCCAGCCGCCAGTCCAGCCCGTCAGCCAGTCAGCCAAGCCAGCCAGCCGTCAGTCGCCAGCCAGCCAGTCCAGGCCAGACAGCCCGCCAGCCAGCCAGCCAGTCAGCCAGCCACCAGTCCAGCCAGGCCAGCCAGCCAGTCAGCCAGCCAGACATCAGCCAGCCAGCCAGTCAGCCAGGCCAGCCAGTTCCAGCCAGCCAGCCAGTCAGCCAGCCAGCCAGCCAGCCAGTCAGGCCAGCCAGCCAGTCAGCCAGGCCAGTCAGCCAGCCAGCCAGCAGCCAGGCCAGCAGCAGTCAGCCAGTCAGCCGCAGCCAGCCAGACAGCCAGTCAGCCAGTCAGCCAGCCCAAGCCAGCCAGCCCAGTCAGCCAGTCAGCCAGCCAGCCAGCCAGCCAGTCAGCCAGTCAGCCAGCCAGCCAGCCAGCCCAGCCAGTCAGCCAGCCAGATACACACAGGATGTTACACATGTTATATACACACAGGATGTTACACATGTTATATACACACAGGATGTTACACATGTTATATACACACAGGATGTTACACATGTTATATACACACAGGATGTTATTCATGTTAATCCCTCAATCAATGATCTGGGCAAATAACACAATAAGAATGATGACAGTGCCTGTCCCCCCCAGCTCAAACCCCAAATGATCTGGGCAAATAACACAATAAGAATGATGACAGTGCCTGTCCCCCCCAGCTCAAACCCCAAATGATCCGGGCAAATAACACAATCAAATATTTAAACCCATCTGACCTTAAGTGTGTGTGTGTGTGTTGTCTCCAGGTGCACTATGAATGTTGGAGGAAGTTCCTGAAGTCCTTCTGGATGTCTGTGGTGGTCTACACCATGCTGGTCCTCATCCTGGTCTACACCTTCCAGTTTGAGGCCTCCCTACCCTTCTGGTTAACATGACTGGCATGAGCAAAGAGAAGTGAGTATTAACCCTGACCCCTAACCCCTAACCCTCCCTACCCTTCTGGTCTAACATGACTGGCATGAGTGAAGAGAAGTGAGTATTAACCCTGACCCCTAACCCCTAACCCCTAACCCTCCCTACCCTTCTGGTCTAACATGACTGGCATGAGCAAAGAGAAGTGAGTATTAACCCTGACCCCTAACCCCTAACCCTCCCTACCCTTCTGGTCTAACATGACTGGCATGAGTGAAGAGAAGTGAGTCCTAACACTGACCCCTAACCCCTGACCTAACCCCTAACCCTTAACCCTAAAGTTCACAAAATAGCTCATGTCAAGAGGACATTTGCAATGCTCAGACAGCTGGGAACACCTACATTTAGTCCTGTATTAGTGGGAGATTTGATGTGTGGCAGGGTTCTTCAATTCCGGTCCTGGAGGGCCGAAACACTTCTGTTTTTCATTTCTACCTGGTAGTTAATTGCACTCACCTGGTGTCCCAGGTCTGAATTAGCCCCTGATTTAGAAGGAGAGGATGAAAAACAGAGGTGTTTCGGCCCTCCAGGACCGGAATTGAAGAACCCTGATGTACTGTATGGTCTCCACACCTTTATTGAGTGATATCTCTCTCTCTCTCTCTCTCTTCAGACTGAAGGACCTGGGGTTAGAGCGGTTCTCTGTATCGATGCTCTTCACACGTATCTTCATCCCCACCTCCTTCCTCCTAGTGTGTATCCTCCATCTTCACTACTTCCACGACCGCTTCCTCCTGCTCACCGACCTGAAGGCTGTGGCCCAAAAACAGGACAGCGCCATCTACAGGTGAGACTGAGTGACAGATCAGGGATTTGAACCATGCGTTACGTTAGCCCACTGAGCTAAAGCCTAGGCATTAATGTGGAGAGCTAATATGAGTTTCAGCACCATCTACAGATGAGCTGACTGGGGGGTTTGAACCCTGCTATGTCTCTAGACTGTGTTAACCCACTGAGCTAAAGTCTACGCATTAGTTTGGGGCTCTAACATGAGTTTATGGCAGAATCTAAAGGTGAGCTGGGTGACTGGCTCTGAACCCAGCAATGGTTCAACTCATTTTGACAGGTTTGTGTCCTGGGATTCACTAGGTGGTCTAGGATTCACTGGGTGGTCTAGGATTCACTGGGCGGTCTAGGATTCACTGGGTGGTCTGGGGTTCTGATATCATGCTGTCATTATAACTACCTCATTTGGTGTTTTCTTTCACACTGAGAAATGCTGAAACTCTAGTGGTCTGTGTGGTAGTGTCTGTAGTGGTCTCTGTGGTGGTCTGGTAGTCTATGTGGCGGTCTGTGTTTTAGTCTGGTAGTCTGTGTGGTAGTCTGGTAGTCTGTGTGGTAGTCTGGTAGTCTGTTGGTTCTGAGTGGTATCTGAGTGGTAGTCTTGTGGTGGTCTGGTTTGGGGAAATCGGTAGTCTGAGAGTTTGTCTGGGATCTGTGTGGTAGTCTGGTAGTCTGTGTGGTAGTCTGGTAGTCTGAGGGGAGTCGTTGGGGTAGTTGGTAGTTGTGTGGGAGCTGGTGGGTGGTTGGTAGTCTGTGTGGTAGTTGGTAGTCTGTGGGGGTAGTCGTGTGGTAAATCTGGTAGCCCGTGTGGTAGGCTGTGGGGGTAGTCGGTAGTCGTGTGTGGTAGTTGGTAGTCGTGTGGGTTGGGATCTTGGGTAGTTGGGGTGGTAGTCTGTGTGGAGTAGTCTGGTAGTTGAGTGGTAGGTTGGTAGTCGGGTAGTTTGGGGAGTCAGTGGTTGGTAGTCTGTGTGGTAGTCTGGGTAGTTAGAGGAGTTGGTGGGGAGTGGTGGGGTAGTCTGGTATTGTGTGGTAGTCTGGTAGTTGGGGGCGGTAGTCTGGTGGTAGTTGGTAGGGGCTGTGTGGTAGTCTGGTAGTCTGGTGTAGGTGGTAAATCTGTGGGTAGTCTGGTGGGTGATCTGGTGAGTGGCTTGTGTGGTAGTTGTAGCTGGTGGTTTAGTCTGGTAGTCTGGGGGTAGTCTGGTAGTTGAGTGGTATTGGTAGTTGGGGGTAGTTGGTAGTCTAGGGAGAGTGGGTAGTCTGGTGTGGGGTAGTCTGGTGGGATTTGGGAGTCTGTGGTAGTCTGTGGTGAGTGGTAGTCTGGGAGTCTTGTGGTAGGTAGTCTGGTAGTTGGAGTCTGTGTGGTAGTCTGGGTAGTCTGAGTGGTAGTCTGGTAGTCTGAGTGGTAGTCTGAGTGGTAGTCTGGTAGTCTGAGTGGTAGTCTGAGTGGTAGTCTGGTAGTCTGTGTGGTAGTCTGTGTGGTAGTCTGGTAGTCTGTGTGGAGTCTGGTGGTAGTCTGGTATGTCTGTGTGGTATCTGGTAGTCTGGTGGTAGTTGGTTTGTCTGTGGGTAGTCTGGTGGTTTGTCGGTAGTTGAGTGGTAGTCTGGTAGTCTGGGTGGGTAGTCTGGGGGTGTCGGTAGTCTGTGTGGTAGTCTGTGTGGTAGTCTGGTGGTAGTCTGTGTGGTAGTCTGAGTGGTAGTCTGGTAGTCTGTGTGGTAGTCTGTGGGTAGTCTGTGTGGTAGTCTGGTAGTCTGTGTGGTAGTCTGTGTGGTAGTCTGGTAGTCTGTGTGGTAGTCTGGTAGTCTGTGTGGTAGTCTGGTAGTTGTGGGTAATTTGCGGTAGTCTGGTGTTGGTGGTTGTTGGTAGTATGTGGTTTGTCTGGTAGTCGGGTGGTAGTCTGGTAGTCTTGGGGGTGCTGGTAGTCTGGTGTGGTAGTCTGGTGTCTGGTGTGGTAGTCTGGGTATTGAGTGTGGTGGGTAGTCTGGGTTTGTGGTAGTCTGGGAGTCCGTGTGGTGTCTGGTAGTCTGTGTGGTAGTCTGGGAGTCTGTGTGGTAGTCTGGTAGTCTGTGTGGTAGTCTGGTAGTCTTGGAGTCTGGTGTCTGGTGGTAGTCTGTGTGGGAAATCTGGTAGTCTTTTTGTTGTGGTAGTTGGTATTCTGTGTGGTAGTTGGTAGTCCTGGAGTGGTATTCTGGTAGTTGTGTGGTAGTCTGGTAGTCTGTGGGGGTAGTTGGTAGTCTGTGTGGTAGTTGGTACTGATGTGGTAGTCTGGTAGTCTTTTTGGGGGGTATCTGGTAAGTCTGTGTGGTAGTTGGTAGTCTGTGTGGTAGTCTGGTAGTCTGAGTGGTAGTCTGGTAGTCTGTGTGGTAGTCTGGTAGTCTGTGTGGTAGTCTGGTAGTCTGTGTGGTATCGGATTGTGTGGTAGTTGGTAGTCTGTGTGGAGTTGGTAGTCTGGTGTGGGTAGTTCTGGTAAATCTGTGGTGGTAGTCTGTGTATCTGTTGGTAGTTGGTAGTCGTGTGGTAGTCTGGTAGTCTGTGTGGTAGTCTGTGTGGTAGTCTGGTAGTCTGTGTGGTAGTCTGGTAGTCTGTGTGGTAGTCTGTGTGGTAGTCTGGTAGTCTGTGTGGTAGTCTGGTGTGGTAGTCTGGTAGTCTGTGTGGTAGTCTGGTAGTCTGTGTGGTAGTCTGGTAGTCTGTGTGGTAGTTCTGGTGGAGTCTTGTTGTGGTATTGTGTGGTAGTCTGTAGCTGAGTGGAGTCTGGTAGTTTTGAGTGGTAGTCTGGTAGTCTGGTGGTAGTTGGGGAGTTCTGGTGGTAGTCTGGTAGCTGGGTGGTAGTTGGTAGTTGAGTGGTAGTCTGGTAGTCTGTGTGGTAGTCTGGTAGTCTTGTGGTAGTTTGGGAGTTTGGAATGGTAGGTAGTCTGAGGGTAGTCTGGGTTTTGAGGGTAGCTGGGTAGTCGTGTGGAGTCTGTGGTAGTCGTGGGGGTAGTGGTAGTCTGTGGGTAGTCTGGTGTATCCTGGTAGGTTGGTAGTCTGGTGGTGTTGGTAGTCTGGGTAGTCTGTGTGGTAGTCTGGTGTTGAGGGGAAATCTGTGTTAGTCTGGTGGTTAGTCTGGTAGGCTGTGTGGTAGTCTGGTATCGTGTGGAGTCTGGGGTTTGGGAGTCGGTAGTCTGTGTGGTTTGTCTGGGGTTTGGTTAGTCTGGTAGTTGGTGGTTGTTCCCGTGTGGTAGTCTGGTAGTCTGGTGGTAGTCTGGGGAGTCTGTGTGGTAGTCTGGGTAGTTGAGTGGTAGTCCTGGTAGTCTGAGTGGTAGTCTGTATTGAGTGGTAGTCTGGTAGTCTGTTGGGTAGTCTGGTAAATTGGTTTGTCTGTGTGGTAGTCTGGTAGTCTGGTGGTAGTCTGGTAGTCTGGTGGTGTCTGGTAGTCCCGAGTGTAGTCTGTAGTCTGTGTGGTAGTCTGGTAGTCGTTGGTAGTCGAGTGGTTAGTCTGGGTTAGTCTGTGTGGTAGGCTGGGAGCTGGTGGTTTGGGTAGTCTGGTGGTAGTCTGGTAGTCTGGTGGTAGTCTGGTAGTCTTGGTAGTTGGTAGTTGTGTGGGAGTCTGGTAGTCTGTGTGGTGTCTTTTGTGGTAGTCGGTAGTCTGTGTGGTAGTCTGGTAGTCTGTGTGGTAGTCTGGTAGTCTGAGTGGTAGTCTGGTAGTCTGAGTGGTAGTCTGGTAGTCTGAGTGGTAGTCTGGTAGTTGGTAGTCTGTTGGGGGTGGAGTCTGGGGGTAGTCTGGTAGTCTGTGTGGTAGTTGTAGTCTGGTGGAGTCTGGGAGTCTGAGTGGTAGTCTGGTAGTCTGAGTGGTAGTCTGGTAGTCTGGTAGTGTTGGTAGTCTTGGTGGTAGTGTGGGTTAGTCAGTGGTAGTCTGGTTGTTTATTACTGTTTGGGATCTGGGTTTGTCTGGTGGTAGTCTGGTATTTCCCTTTTGGATCTGTATCTTTTGTGTATCTGTATCTGTTAATCTTGTCTTTACCCGTGTTGTTCCCTTTTTGTGATCTTATCTTAACCTTTTGACTGTTTCTTTTAACTTGTATCTTTTCTTACTTGTCTGTAGTCTTCTCGTATCTGTTCTAATTGCCTTGTCTTTCGTGATCTGTTCTAATGTATCTGTATCTTACCCGTAATCTTTTCTCCCGTTCTTATCTTCTCCTTGATCTATCTATCTGCTGGTGGGGTTTTACTGTGTGCTTTTTAACTGCTGTTTCCCCACCCTTCCTCCCTCCCCTCCCACCATTGTTTTTGGGACTATTTCTTTTCCTGAAAATTTTTCTCCCTCT